CATATTAGCTACCAATCCAGCCTAGCATGGCATGATGCTAATTGCTTGAGCTAAAAAGTGTAGGTCGCATTCTTTCACTGACTGTTTATCCTTCTAGTTGTTTGTTTTCTGTTCTGATGCAGCTGCTGTTGGTCCAATATCTGTTTGACTGTTCCAAGATTTGAACATGTAAATTACAAAATTGTTGCATATCAGAAGGTGTTGTGTTTACCATATATGTGCAGACACATACTGCTTTGCTTTTGGCAGGCAAGGCGAGTAACATGGAACCCAGCAGATTACAAAATATATTGTTGGATAGTCTTAGCACTAAAAACTAAAGCTTGCTTTAGGACAGGTGTCTGACTTCTGCCTTCACGAGGCGATTGTAAATTGTTTCTTAAATGTTTGGTCTCAAATTTTAATGAAATCCAAGTTACAGGGATTCTGTGCAGATATCCAACTACAGGAGAAACCTTTATTTTCAGCTCCAGATGCATTTTTTAATTTTTCTCTGCATTCTTACTGCTTTCCTGTGAAGTATTGGCATCAGCTAGTGGGTATTGGGTAACAAAGCCTAATGATTTTGCTGCTGTTGAGAGCCCTCAGGCAATGGGGTGTCCTGCTCATATGTAGTGAAAGGGTTGGGTGCACTAGGTTGGTCCTTTGAGTCCAGGGCTCCAGCAGGTGGAGGAATGCTACCATCAAGGGTGGTCGCATTCCACAGAGTTTAATTTTAAGGAATGTTATTGTGAATATTTAGCACACTCAGAATAAAGGCTGGCACCTTACATGTAATATGACAGTGTTTGGACTGACTGTAGGAACACAGGTCACTGAAATGACTTACTAACTTGAATTACAAGTGTACTGTTTGCGTGCCTGTATTATCTGCAGCTGTTTTTTAGAAGTGATATTTTTAGCCACCCAAAATATACGTGGTTGTGAATTTGTCAGTTTAATGGCTTTTTGAAGAACTTGAATGAAGAAAAACACAGCACCACAGTTAGTAAGGGTAGTGAGTCATTCTGAATAAAATAGGTTGTTTCTGCAAACTTAATACCACAGAACTTCTATTGACAACAGCACGTATTTTTGCAGAAGCTACATTTATTTAGCTTTCTAACCCTTTGTTCATGCACTTTAGAACAATTTTTCCTGTTTTGTGCATATATTTGCTAGCGCTAATGTTTTATTTTAATCTGCATTTAATAGTCGCCATTTTAGACTTTAAATAGTGCATTTCTCTTATAAGATACTCTTACCTGCCCCTGATTTTTTTCTTCTCTGACAGTAATGTTTACATCTCTGATCTATTTTTTTCACAGATTTTTTTTTTTGTACAAAATTAATCTCATAAATTCATATGATGTAGAATGTTCTCATCCGGTCACTGTGTTTGTTTCACTGCAAATGTTGAAATTTAACATGCTCTTCAAAATGAGGATATAATTATTGTAGAGACAGCTACTACAATACATCTTTGGGATGGACATGGTATTCATGTGGAATGTTCAAACTCTAGAATCCAGTTTTCAGGTTTTAGAGTTTTCTGGTTTGTTTGAACATGAAAGGATGTTCCTAATATTCTTATAGTATAATAAACGAAGGGCTGGGGCAAAGGTCTCTGCAAAAGGAGAGAAAGCACATGAAAGGAGACAGAAAGAGATGAGAGGGAAAGCAAAAACAAGAGGATAAGAAAGAAGTGAAAGAAAAGACTGAAGTAGTCCCTCAATATGAATATGTTTTTCACTTGTAGATATTGAATCTGATATATGCTACCAAACAACTAATTAACATAACTAAAAGAGTTAAGAGCCAGTCTTTTTGTTTACTGTATGTGTATAGGTGTTTGTACCTGTGCAGTGAAATACAGGAACAGAAATTCCTCCAGTGCTCATGAGCTTCAGGAATAAGGCTTTGATTATTCATGGAACAATAGGGTAGCTTAGGGTTGACAGGATCTCTTGCAGTCATCTTGTTCAACCCTGGGTTCAAAACATTTCCAACAAGAAGGGGTTATTTTGGGTTGGGTGTCCAGGCTGTATCTCTGAGAATGGAGATTGTAGCTCTGGGCAGCCTGATAAAATACTGTTCCATTAGATTAATACCTTCCTTGAAGAACGCAGCCCAAGAGTGGACACAATGATTTAGGTTCAAGCTCAGAAGTGCTGAGCAATTACTTCTCTTGTCCTGATGATAGCACATTGATAATGCTGCCCTGTATGTGATTGACCTTTCCTGCGAGGATAAAGGGACACTCAAAGGCTGACTAACACTCCAAGGATTCTCCAGCTCCTTATCTGTAAATCTGTTTTCTAGCTAGTCTGTGCCACTGCACAAGGTTGTTCCAAGCCAGATGGAAGACTCCACAGTTAGTTCTGTTGAACTCCCTAACATTCCTAATGTCAGCCCATTTCTCAAGTCCATAAGGAAGAGCCGAATGTGGACCTGCTCTCCAAAGTATTAACTGCTCCCTCCAATTTGATTTCACTCACTAGCTTGTTTGGGATGCACTCTGTCCCATCATCCAGGGTATTTTATAAAGACAATAAATAGTGTTCATCCCAGTATGGATCAATCCCCGGGGGAAGCTGCTAGTAAGTGGTTGCCATTGAAGTTGACGCTGCAGATCAGAATCCTTTGAGTCTAGCAGTGCAGCCAGATTCCCTCCAATCTGCATATACAGTGCATATCTTCCCTGTTTTCCTTTCAGAGCTGAAGAGGAAACCAAGTCTAAGGCCATCCTAAAGTCAGAGTGTACAACATTTTCCATCTTCCCCTTCCATATCCACAGTACCAGAATCCCTCTTGGTAAATCCGTATGGGATATTAGCAGCTGCCTTGTCCATCCTGTAGCGGGCAATGGCTTCTAGAAGCTTTGCTCTGTAACTTTCCCAAGGATAGAGGTGAGGCTTGTAGCTCCCTGGATCCTCTTCTTGCCCTCCTTGAAGATGGGTGTAACATCTGCAATACCCAGTCATCAGGAACCTGCCCTAATCACCAGGATGGTTCAGTTCATAACATTGGCCACCTCCCACACAGAACCCTGGGGTACAGCCTATCTGGTCCTCTTGCCTCCTGTATGATCAGCTGGGCTCAAGAGCCTCCAAAATGTCTTTCTTTATAGCTCCAGGTCCCACAAGAGGTGCAGGACTTACAAGGCCTGGGGGCAGAACTAACCAGTGAAAATTTACCCAGAAAAAGATACTGAGTGCCCTGGCTTTTTTCTTGTCTTTTGTCACTTGGGTTCCTTTTTTCACCACTGTGTCCACATTTTCCTTAACCATGCTCTTGTTGTACTTTACTGTGTAAGCCATATTCTAGTACTATTACGTGGATAACTTCTCTGACAGACCAGCTGTAGATAAGCATCATTCCCAATAGATATTGTAAAAAAAGATATAAGTAAATTATTGAAAATATTGAAGGCAACAGAAAATATTAAGGGACATTTTCAAAGAACAGCATTATATAAAGAAAGTTGACAGTGAAAGTTTAAAATAATTGGAATGAATTTTCACATTGTGGAGTTGCCTGTACAAATGATTTTCACACAGCATTTTGAAGGGTACCAGTTTTGACATTTAGAAAAAGATACCTGAATGGGTATTTGGGTAATACCTATTTATATTTAGATGTGAGCTCTGTCTAAAAAACAAACACTGATGCCTTTAGGAGCATATCTCTGTGGTACCTATGAAGTTAGTGTTTTAGGAGAAAACACTAAGTTTCCTCCAGGTTGTTGGGTACTGAGCAGTTTCAGACACTGGACTTTGAATTAAGCTGATCACTACTCTGGACTGGGATGGTGCTGTCTGTGGTTTCTGTTGACATAAATGGTGAATACTAACATTTAGGGAACTTTTTAGCATTCTCTAATCTGTTTATGAAATGCACTTGCAGTCTTGAGAAATTCCTTTTTGTACTTTCCCATCTCATGATTGAGTGCATTCTTGCATGTGAAGTCTCTGTGTCTGAGTCACTGTTTATCACAGGATCAATAAAACCTGAAAAGCATGCCACAGTTGTAGTATTCTCTCAGTCAATTTTGTCAAAGTAGAAAGAAATAATTTAAAATTACTTCTCTCAGAAGAGAAAATATATTTTTTCTTTGTTTTTTTTCTGTCTTCACTTATAAAACCTGATTTATTCAGTGAATATTGTCTACAATGGAGTGACTTCAGATGAATATTAAGTTCTGTAGGTTGCTTTCTTATAGCAATTTGACTCTTACAACTTAAATAATTTCAGTTTATTTCAAGAATGTGTTGTGTGTGTTTATACAGGTGTATTTTGTTTGTGTAAAAAGGAGTATATGCAAAATTGAGTGTCTGAATGAAAAGCACTAGTTCATGTTCACAAGATCAGTCTAGGCATCTGGTCATTGTAAAAAGTGCTTTAAGTCTTAGTCTTAGATTCTATGAAACTCCTTCCAGTGATGCTTTAAAAACTTAAAAAACATCTTGTGTTATGATTAAGATGAGGACCTTAAAGGAAGTTTTATTTGTAGGGCCATGTAAGTCATTGGCAAAGGGAAGTTAAATCAAACTGTCAGTATTCCAGTCTTAGGTACTGTACTCCTTTGGCAATCCTCTAACACATTAAGTCTGGGTAAATACCAGGAGCTTAACTTCATAAGTGAAGTGATTTCCTTAACCTTTTGGGAAAGGTAAAATCCTTATAATTTTTCCTTTGAATCATATTTTGTTCTACTGCAGGAGATTACTGCTGTTCTTGTTGTGTGTTGTGCTTTATGGAAGGAATCTACTATTTGATAAAATATGTTGCCCTCTCTTCTGCCTCCAGTCATAAACATTTGGAAATAAAATACTTTTTGTCTGTTGTTCTTATCTGCTAATGAATCTATTACCTAGAATACCACAGGTTATCTCATGTTGGTTGCCAAGGAACACCTTTATTTGCAAGGTGGTGTAATATTAAAATTAACTCCTTTTGATTGTTTGACGCTAGTGTTGCTAGTATCATTCTTATAACCATATGTATCTTTCTTTTTGCAGCTTGGGTCCTACGTTTGCGCTGTTTGTTCCATTTTATTCCTCCATTCCAAGAGTGCAGGTGACACAAGTATTGGGTCACTTTTCTATCACAAACAAATCTCTGGTCTACATACTGGGTTTACAGGTATGGTATGTACTTGCTTGTTCATCTTTTAATAAACTAATAATATAGTAGTTAGTGTTTCTGTTTGTCTGAATTTTGATGCTTAATTTTGATGAATAAATGTATGCATGATTCAGCATAAATTTAGCTAGTAACTTTCCCCTCAGCTAAAACATGAAGAAACGTGTGTTTCTAGTGTGCTGTAGTGGTGAGCAAGTGATCGGTTCTTACCTTGTCCTACATGGTAAAATATAATAGACAGTTTTTTGGTTTTTTTCTTTGGGTTATTAAAATGAATTGGACAAAAAGATATTAAAATGGAACCTGATCCTAAAGCAATTCTATCTTTCACCTATCTAGTTTGCTAATATTCTTGAATTTGCTTATTTTTCCCTTGTCATTTAGAGTTCAAACAAAGCTGTAGAATACAGTATTTTCTATGGTAACACTATTAGTAAATAATCAAGGTTTTGGCTGAATTTCACTTTTATAGAGCTTATTTGTATATCATGCATTACCATGTGATCAGTAATTTAGAGTAGTGTAACATAGAGCACAGCAACATCATGTAGTATTCTGTGAAATATGGCTGGAAAAATATGATTGCTAGGTATAGAAAGCCAGTAATTATTCAAAAAACAACTAAAAAAACCCCAAAAACCCATCAGCCTAGAAATGAATGGACACTTGTGTCACAGCCTGAATGATGAAATAGGAGATATGCAAATTTATGAGAAAGTAGGCTCACTTCTATATGTTCTAGGGATTCAATAGTAGCTCTGGCACTAGCAATGGGGAAACCAATATAGTTACATGAAATGTGGTAGAGAGTATTTTAGAATAAGCAGTCAGTTTCAGAATACTGACTTGTGCTCAGTACATTTTATTCATCCTCTTTCCTTCTCTGCCTTTGGTTTCCTTCACTTTCTGCTCCAGCACCTTATTTTGTTTATCTTTCAGAAATCTTGTTTCCTCTCTTGTGAACCCATCAATTCCACTATTATTACAGTCTTTGGGAAAACCATGATACTGTGTGGACTGTTTTCCATTATGGCTTTCACCTTTTGCATTCATACACACAGAGCAGCTCCAGTGTGGATTGGTGCTGTCACTGACCCCCGTATCTCTGTGGGATCTCTCCCTGCTGTGCACAGAACAGTTGCTGCCATCACACAGAGGCTGAGGGAAGACTCTTTGCCTTCTCCTCGTTTGTAAACTCTGTCCTTATCTCCAGTCACTCTTTCCATAGTAGGAACTCTAGAGGGAAGGTGTACTCATAATTCAATCAGCATCATATAGAGACATTTTAGTAACCATTTTCAGTCCATTTTTCCAGTTGGTAATAACCTCCTTCAGGTGATTAGTCACATACTTTGCTAGAAACAATGGGCTGCCACGTTGGCTTATCAGGATTTTTTAAACAATTTGCTCTGGCTGATTTCTGTGATTTCATGTCAGCAAATATGTCACTGCATAAGAACTTTATTTCTTTAATTTTGATGCTGGTGCTTAGTCTGTCTGACTGTGTGTCTGAGAGCTTCACTTGGAGTCCCCGCCTGCTTGGAACTCTTCTGTTGCTGCTGAGTCATTTCCTTTGCTTCAGTCTGTCTTTCAGACCTGTTTTTCTGTGCAGCCTATAACTGACATCCTGTTATACTTAGTAAGCTATATGAAAATAAAATGTATTGTTCTGTAGAAGGAGAACAATTGTTGGATCCCTGTGTTTTTTCCACTTGCTGCTTCTGGAATACTTTTTTTTTTAATGTTAAACTGAATTTTAACAGAGGTAAAAGTCTGACGTCTCCCATTGTCATGACAAGTGCATAAACTATATTGTATTGCAACTTATGGGTTCATATAGCAACAACTTTGTAAAAAAAAAAATTAAATCCCTATTCTTGTCTTCTAGCTCTTAACCTCTGGTTCCTACATCTGGATTTTAGCCTTAAGTGGATTGGTAAGTCTTACTATTATAAAAATCATGTGTTGATTAAAACACTGTTATGTATGTGATCAGCACAGTATATTTGGACTCAAAAAGAACAGAAATTACTAAGTAACATTTTGTGTTGGTAAGGAGAAAATTTTCCTCTTCAGCTTCAAAATATGTAAAGCAATGACTAGCTGGTGATAAACTGACAAGATGACAAAATTGGTGGTTAATATTTCCAGGGTGCCACTGCTCCCTGCATAAAATTGATTTTGTTGCCATGGATATAGCTGTACACACTCACAACAAGAAATTAGATTACTAAGGAAATGGTAGAAATATGTACCCTGGGTTGGGGTTTGTTTTTTCAGTTTTTAGCAAGCCTCAAACTTTGATTCCAAAACTCAGGCTTTGATAACTTTGCTGTAAGTAAGGGTTTTTCATGCTTGGCTATTCTCCTAGGAGATCTGTAGTACAGCTGTTTCTCACAATCACAACAGCAATAAGGGAACAAAATCACGTTAGTTACATCAGTCAGATAAAGGAGGTGTGATCTGTCGTCTTCCTTTCTGACTCTGTTCTTGGTACTAAGGCACTTAGTGCTGAAACAGATTGTGCTAAATCTTTCAGATTGTTATGTACTGATAAGCTTCTTTTAAAACTTTACAAACTTAGAAATTAGGAGCTCAGACTGATTTCTTGGCCCAAAAGGCTGTAAATTTTTCAACAGTGTGAGTGCCACGACTTCCAGGGGAGCTCATTATTAAGTTGATGGAATCTCGAGAACTCAAATTATGCCCTTGCTGTGTAGAACCTAGTAATTCCAATTTGGGTTGAGCTCAGAGGGAAATGCTGCTGCAACTCAGTAGTTTGGTCTCTTACCATTTGCATTGACTGTTGCAAAATATTCTTTGAGTTTCTAGGATAACTAATAACAGGAGTGATGGAGCAGCAAATAGTGACGTCTGTTCATGATTTGATCTTGCTATAAATATCGATGAAAGCAGTGCAACTAACAAACCAGAATCTATCTCCCCTGGAAATCAGCCCAAGCCTCTGTGCCCACTGAAGGATCTGTGACTTCCTCCAAATGCACTACCCTTCCTGTTACTCCACTGGCTCTTTTAATAGCCCTTCCTTTCGAACAGGTGTTCATTAGAGAGGGAAGGAAAGGAAAGAAATGGAAAGGCATTTTAACTCCCTCTTTCCTGATGACAGAAGCTCTATGTATACCTGATTATACAGATATATAAAGGGTAGCTCAATTTTTTTTTCATAATACATTTTGCAGTTCTTTTAATTCCCTCTTAATATAAAGTTTTATTCTTCTGTATAATGAAACTTGCTCAACTGTCTTAGTAATATTTTTTATAAATTAGCTTTTTTAAAATTTCAGGTTAACAGTATGTTTCACTTGGGTGTAAATCCATAGGATTAAATTGAGTTACCTTTGTGTCAAAGGATGGCTAAAAAATAATTTCAAGTTTTCATATTGCTTCAGTCAGCGTAAATTAAGTCATCATCAATTATGATGTGTTTTCAGTTTCTGTTTTTCTTTGCAGCTAGCAGAGATCTGCACTCCACCACTTTGGAGTGGTGCTACAATTTGAAAAGAAATTCATGTTAGGATTTTCAGCCATTTTTTTTTTGCATAGCATATCTGCCACACTTCTGTGATTAAGAAGTCTCTTTTTCTCCTCAGTTAGAAATTATAATTTGGTATCCTTTTGATAAAGGAATAAAATTTCACAGTAAATTAAATAATCTGAAGCAGGATATGCAACACTATAAAACTGCCTTTTCACACTTCAAGTGTAGTTGGTTGTGAACATATGTCTATGTACAATGACAGAATTAATAGAATGCCAAATTAATGTTAAATAATTCTAACAGCCTATGTTATGTAATTCTTACTGCTCTTGACATTTTCCTAGCTTATTAACTTAGTCTTTGTGGACTCAAATTTTCAAAATTGTACAAAAAGAATGAATAAATGCAGGAACACCAAGTCAGATAGATGTGATATTTAGTCATTAGTTCATTGCCTGTTAGACATTTCACTGTGTTTTTAACACTGAAGATCACTTAGGCACCCATATGAGTATATTATGATGCTGTTCTATAATTCAGCTTTTGTTGCACATCTGCTTATATTAATACTAAATTGGATGGTAGAATATTGAAATGGATGGTGCTGGCACAATTTCTGAGTTTCAGTTTGTACTTTGTCTTTGCTCTGTTCCTGGTTCAGATTTAGTTAAATTCTCACAGCCTATATTTGAACATGACTAAATAGGATCTGAATTTTCAGTTACATCCTTGCAAGTATCATTAGACTTTCTTGTGAATTCTAGGCAGGGGAAACAGGTACTGGGAACTTTAGTTCTTGTTTTCGGTGGCTTTGAGTGATGCTGTCATTACAGAAATGTGTGTATGAGTCTATGTGTGCAGGTAGGCATTGATGTAATGTGCCTGGTGGTAGGGAATTTTTGACAATTTGTAGTTTTGATGGTGAATTTTTCTCAGGTGCAGAAATTACAGCTCATGTTTTGTTACTGGAATACAAAGTGCTTCCATGCAGTGTGTATCACTCAGTTTAGTGAAGGCCTGAAACAGTTTCTTCACTGTTTTTTTCTTTAATTTCTAAATTTTCTTTTTTTCTAAAATAGTCAAAATGCCTTAGGAAGTGGTATTCATGTTTCATTTGATGTTTACATCTTCTCTCCCTTATTTTTTTTGCCACCCCTTTAAAATCTCTTGGATTCCCAGTTAATAATTTTCCTCGTTATACTCTTGAAGGATTGAAATTTGAGAGGTGTGTCAAGGCTCAGTCATAGCTAGAGGCCACCTGCTTAAAGAAGTAAGCCCATTTGGTGACCAGCAGAAGACATGTCCCACAAAGACATGCAGTTCCCTCCACTTTCTGGGATAATGTTTCCATCAGACAGATCACATGCCATGGGGTTTTCTGAGATGCTTAGGGCTATATTTCATAGGGAGAAGCTATCTTTCAGGCCCTTTCTGTGATTTTAGTGTCGTAACCCTGCTTCTTACCTTGTGTTGTTTTTTTGTTTGCAAGATGACCTGCACAGCATAAAGTTCAAAATTTGGAACCCACCAAGTCTCCTGTGAGCTGCCTTGAATTTGTGTAGAGTTCAGTTCAAACTTTAGGAAACTGAAACTGAGAAGTTTCTAAAACCTTGCTTGGCTTGGAGATTTCACTAAGCCAAATGCAAGTTTTCTACATTGTTACTGTGCTACACTGAAATTTACTTTTCTCAGAATGTATGAAAAGTTGATATAAAAAGATTTTATATCTAGACATTGGAAAATGTAGAGAATCTATCATTTAGAGCTTGTACTTTAACAACTTAAGGTTAAGACAAAAAGGTCAGACAGTGTTGAGTGCATGTTTAATTTCAGTTCTGGTTTTTTTGAGTACATTAGTTATTACTCATAATTTTGAAGTGGCTAACTTAGTGTTACGTAGACTACAGGTATCTGTTGTTAAATGCTCCCAAGTGTACTTGGATTGTACTTTTGAGTTCTATTTGTTAAGAACTGTATACATTCTTTCTGTTAGTTACTCATTCAGCTCAGGTGTTATTGTATAGTGAATTCATGTCCTTTGGAATTGACATTTATAGGATAAAATGTGATTCATCTGGGGAGCAAAATAATTAAACCAGACTTTAATTGTTTAAATTCTTGTCTTAAAAATAGCATTATGTAGTTAATATCTGATCAGACCTAGGAATCATCGATTTTCTTGTTGTTTTTCTTCCTCTTTCACATTTTTCTTAAGTGGTTTTGAGCAATTCATGCTGAATTATTTGTTGTTTTAAAAAATGTTTTGAAGGGAGTGCAGAAGCATTTGTATTACTCCCCAGTATAGTGTTCACATTGAAAATATCATCCCTCCTACATAATTAAAATTTTTATTAAATATATGCTTTCTCAAAGGGAATCTTTGGTCAGAGTCGTTAATGTAAATTCATGTCCTGATGTGCACTGTCCTTCATCTTCCTGTTAGTCTGGATATCTTTCAGTCATCCATGTTTAGTCTCATGTAGGGCTTTAGTCATAGTGTGAGATTTTTTTAACTCTTTGTAACTGTGATTGTTAAGTGAATCAGGTGAATGTTAGTTAAATGTTGGATCTAGTTAATTTTTGAATATTTGACATTGATGTTACACTATAAATATCAATAGTATTGCTAATATCGGTAAAACTACTCACTTATTAAACATTCTGCCTATGCTTAAGTACTTACCTAAGTAAAACTCTGTGTTTTGTGTGTAACTGATGTGATTCCCCTTTCCTGATAGAACTACCTACCAAAGAGCAAGTACTCAGTTCACAGGATCACTGAAGGTAACATCTGGTCCAGCCTCCCCACTCAGGCAGGGCAACCCAGAGCAGCTTGCCCCAGGACCATGCTCTTTTGAGTATCTCTGAGGATGGAGACTCTTCCACCTCCCTGGGCAAACTGTGCTAGTGTTCAGTCAACGTCACAGTGAAACAAGTGTTTCCTGATCCTCAGAGGGAGCCTCCCATGTTCCAGTTTGTGCCCATTGCCTCTGTTCCTGTTGCTGGGAACCAATGAGAAAAGCTTTTGTCCTCTTCATTGCTGAATCCTGCCCAAAACTAACATGCAGTATTTCTGTGTGGACAGTGCTCAGAGTTCAGCTAAGTGACTGTAAATAACTTGATCTGAGTGTTACTACATTATACTGAATTTATTGACCTAATGTCCCCTGTGGTGGGAGCTTTGACATCTTGCCCATGTCAAGATGTGAATACATGACAACAGCCTAAGCTACTAGCACTTACTCCTGCATCAGTTAATACAGCTGAGAAAGAAAGGAGTTAGTTCATAGGGAATACAGGGGATGTTGGTTTGGAAGTATAATTGTCTGGGAAGGAGGGAAAGGCAGATGTTTCCAACTCTAGAAGAAGGAGAAAGCAGTGAGTGAGGACAGGAAAAGGTCTTAATGATAAGGTCTGTATTAAAGAGAAAGTAAGGTACTTTATATATCTGTGGCTTCTGTAGAAAAATGGTTTTCAGTTTGTATTTAATTTCTGAATTTCTCTCTTAGATCTGAGGAAGAGTTTCTGTGTCCAAAATATGGTCTGTCTGGTCAACTATACCAACTAGTTCATTGTTCTATCAACATTTCCTTTTTTGGCAGCAGTGTTACCCTTTTTGAGAGAGGGAATCCATGAGACTAATGGAGATATCTGCCAAAGGATGAGTTACATCCTAAGAGTGCCCATTTCTCTCCATTGACTATGACACTAACTTTAAACAACCAGCTCATAAGTAGGATTTTAAATTACAGATATTTATGTTGGATCAGATTAATCAAATCCTGATCTTTGAATTAAAGAGATTTGATTAACAACATGATAATCATGTTGATCGTCATCATCATCATCAGAACACTGGCAGAGACCAAGGGAACCTATGCTTAGGACACAAGTTCAAGTTAAGAATAGCTGTACTGTGCTGAAATGGCAGTACAGTCATGTTTGCACATATACAATGTTTTTTAGCTGATAATGATTCTGTCTGACCAATGAAACACTGAGGAACTCTGAAGAAAAAAGTTTCAAGGTATCTGAAAAATTGATGAGCCCAATCAAGTGGAAACAAACTTGAAAAGAAATATTTTAGTATCACTGTAATCTTATTTTTCTCTCAAGTCTTGCAAAAGGCTGTTTATAGTATTTGCAACAATTTCCAAAAAGGAAACCCAAACAGAATAATCTGTTAGAATTGTAACAGAAGTTGAAAATATATGTGTCGTGGGTTTATTTGTTGAGTAGTTTTGTTTCTTATGTGGTTTTCACGCAATCCCTCTTGGTTTGATAAATGCTTTCTCTAATGAAGGTAAATACAGAATCCTGACACAAACTTCAGCCGATGTTTTGATTCTAGTTGTATAGAATTCAGAACATACTAAAGATCAAGCAGATAAAATAGGTATAAAAATGTCATTTCACCTTAAGAAAATTACTTACTTTTCATTTGTTGCTATCTGAAAATAGCCAAGTCTTGAGTACATGTGAATATATTTACATTTTTCAGAACAAAATAATTGAGTATTTGATGTCAAGTTCTGTTAGTTAAAATAATTTGCAACATCATTTTCTACACCAGTCTGTCTGCTTTTTTTCTGTTTGATTTCCTTTTTTGGTGTTAATCAAGTACAGTGAATTTAAATATATAACTTTTAAATACTCCAGCTACTTGTGGAGCATATATGTCTTTGCAATGTAAGATACTGGAGAGTTTCCATCTTTGATTTACCTAATGTGCAGAGAAACTACAGCTACTTCTTCTTTCTTAAAAATGTACAATTTTGGAAGGACATGAGGGAAGGGGAGGGGGAGTTAAGCTTTATGTGGGGCAGGAGGAGGTTGGGAAACTTGATGAGTAGAACCAGTAGTAGGCCACAGTGTTAAGCTTGAATGAAGCTATGAAAATATATAAGCACACTTTTATTTTGCAGTGTGCCAGAGAGTTTCCAGCATCCTCCATTTCCTCTTCTTAGTGTTGTGCCACATACAATATGGTGGATGATGCTGTGACTTACAGAAATTAAGATGCACCATATGTTTCCAGACACAAATTCTCCATTTTAACAGAGTGAACATAACCACAACATCTTTTTGTGGTGACTTTTGGAGGCTGAAATGCAGTGGCTTCTCTGTTTGGGGGAAGTAGCCCTTTAATCAGATGTACAGTGCTGAAGTTGGAATATAATGAGATCATCTTATCTTCATTGAATAAACAATGTTGCTTTGCATTCTTAAACACTAGATATTCACTCAATGTCACTAACAAAAACAGTGTAAAAAGTTGCTTTATACTTTGTCAAAGTTTATGTTTTTTAAAATTATATCTATCAAGTTCTGCATATGAACCAGCTATAGAGGAAGTTCTTTAGAAATACTTGACATTAAGATGAGAGTATGACAGTGAGCCAGGCTGAATCACAAGACCTTTTTTAACTACAAGTGTCTTCATTCTGGCTTTATTGAAAATATGGAAATAGTTATCTCGGCCTCACTAGTTGAAATTTGCTGATTTTTTTTTATAACTGACTGCAGTGTTTTGAAGTTTCTTATACTTCTATATAATAGCTCTTCATTTTAGCTTGTCCACAAACTTTTAGCCTTATAAAGTCTTTTCTTCTGATTGAGTGCTCTGGAATGACTTGCTCTCTCCGCTACCTAAAAGGAGATTGTGATGAGGTGAGAGTCAATCTCTTTTTCCAAGTAAGATAAATGGAAATATCCTTTGAGTTGTGCCAGGGAAGGTCTAGATTGAATATCAGGAAAAATTACTCACCAAAAGGTTCACCAAGCATTGGAACAAGCTGCTGAGGGCAGAAAGAGGTTGAGTCACCATCTCTATAGGTGTTTAAAAGACATGTAGATGTGGCACTTAAGGATGTGGTGGACTTGGCAGTACTGGGTTAACAATTAGACTTGACGATCTTAAAGATCTTTTCCAACCTAAATGATTCTATGCCCACCCATCTCTGCTAAGAAAAATACAAGAATGCTTTTACTGATGCAGCTGCTAATTGGTGCTTGCAGTACGCCTTTCCTTCTGAGACAAACAAGTTCCAAAGTACTGACACCAAAGATAGGCTGCTGTTATCTCATTACTCTTTTTTCTACCTTGACTTGATAAATAATGATTATGTTTGTGGTTTATGTGTTCAGACATGTGTCAAGATTTCTCATACATTCAGGAAGATGTAGATTTTCCTATCACCACTTGCTGTGCTTTGTTCTTGTGACTTTTTGTACCCGTTCAAGATTTTTGAAAACATTAGACCTTTTCAAAAGGTTGTAAGAAAGAGCAGAGATCTATCAGTATCTAGGAGGGACATTTGAAAGAAGTGAGGGAATGCTGGTGTGACGTTGGACAAAGTATTTTGAGCGGGACTTCTTTCCCTGCTTAGTTAACACAATCAGGTGTGCAGAATCCCTGGAACAAAAGAGGGGTCTTGGCTCCATAACCTAATGGTACTACCTACACCTACACCTAACAAGTTGGGAGGAAGGAAGATAATTTGTAGGCTCTGGTGCTGCTTGTGCATTTTACATTGAAGAAAACATCAGATTAAATGTGTACTTAATATTTGCAGTCTAGTTCAGTAATTCTCACTGCCCAAAAATTGCTTTCTCAGTTACTATGCAGTCTAGGTTTTCTTGAGTGAGGGGCCTATCTGGGGCCTATCCCTCAGGACCAGGGTGTTAGCTTCCGAGGGACCTTCTGGCTAGGCAGACACCTCAAGTAGTACATACCAAAACCAGGTGAATTGCAGAAGTGATGTGAATTTTCTTCCTCTTACTCTTTGGCAATTATAGCTGTATCTTAGTTTCCAGTTGATGTGCACAGGTTTTAGTCATGAGTTTACAGTCATCTGGAACAGTTTCACTAGAGCTGAGGGAAGAATATCTGAGGTCATGAGAAAACTTTTGTTACAATGCCCTGTCCAGTTAAGACCTTCCTTTGAAGAAGAAAATTTTTATTAAAGGCAGCCTTCACTCTGATGTGATTATGGCCTTTATAGCATTTACCTCCTTTCTCATAGCATGACTGAAAGACTGAAGAGGTTAAGAGTAGTTTAAAACTGCTCTTTCTCATTTTAGAATGACAGCCCATGCTTGGTGTTACATCCAACCCTGAGTCATAAAATGAAAGTAGAATAAAACAAAAATCATTGTTTCCAAAAGTAGAATGTGTTTTTGCTAAGTCTCACTACCTCATTGGATATTTAACAATAATCTTGTTAATTATCTGAAAAATATGCCCCCTCCTAAAGAATGTTCCTTTTTCCTATACCGTCTCCCTTGGTATACTCAGCAATGCATTTAGTATCTTTACACAAATGTCAGTGAGATACAACAAATAGCCCCAAATAAATAAATACTTCATATGCAGGGTTTCTACATTGCTTTTAGCATAATTTCATTTCTGGGGTATGTTTACAGTTTTTTTGAGGTTCAGATCTTTTCCTGTTCATTTCACTGTGCTGTGACAGCATAATTCTTGTGGCAAACAGACAAAATCATAAATGCTGAAGTGTGGCATAAAGCAAAATGCAGATGGGACCACTTTGGGCTCAAGTGTTGCAGCTTCACAATGGCATTCAAATAAAAGGCTGAGTGATGACTGTAAATCAATTTATGTGGCAGACAGATTTCTCTTTCTCCTGCAGAATCTGAAATGAAATCAAGCCCCAAGGCAAGCACAAACACAGGGAATGTGGTTTCTTCTTATGGACAGGAGAAGGGCTTCACAAAAACTGGCTTTTTCAATATCACAGTTTTTAATGAATTGGTTTTTAAATGGTTTTTTCCATTCTGTAGGGTAGATGGACTTCTTTTGGAATGAGTGTGTGCATAGTCTTAGATTTAACTTCAATTCTGCTGGTTTGCTTTTAATTTTACTAGAAAGAGAGTGGGGACAGAAGAGATGGTGGGGACACAAGACACTAGAGGTGGTGGGGACAGAAGCCTTAAGGGAGTTTGGGTTTTTTTGAAGGAGTGTTTAGAGTGCCTTAGCATCCTCAAGATCAGGTCAGCATGCAGCATACCCTGACCAGTTCTTTTACTAGAAATTAAAATTTTATTTTAATTTTGACCAGTTTTAGAAAGGGTCACTTCGCTTAGGCTCAAATTCTGAAACAAACAAAAAACCTCAAGCAACTTTATGAGTCACAGGTAATGCACCACACAGATTTAAAAAAACAATAATTTGTAGTTGTAGGGAAGTAAAGAAATCCCCTGTTAGTTCTCTGATTCTTGACTGAGAACTGTGAGTAAATACAGTAAAAGTGCTTTAAAAATCAGAAGGGCCAACTGTTAACTGCCGCTTAAAGTAAATGTGTGGTGTATTTAAGTTTTTTGATTTTCAGGGTTTTTTTTAACATTTTGGTTTTGATTTTAGATTTCTGGGATTTGCTACAATAGCGGTATCTTGAAAATTCATCGAATTCTTTGTGTACCCAGATGGGTAGCAAAGATATTTTCTTGGACTCTTGAACCAGTCTTCTCATCTGCGGAACCAACAAATGAAGTTCGAGTGGGAATGGGAGCAACAGTTGACATCCAGAGGCAGCAGAGAATGGAGTTACTGGATCGTCAAATCATGATGTCTCAGGTTGCCCAAATGAGGCGGCAAAGGCAGCAGCAGGTATTGCTATACATTCTTTAAGGATTATATTGTTATAAGAAATATATTATTTTTGTTCATAGATCTTGCGTTCTTCCCGTTTCTTAAAAGTAATGTATTTTTTTAATTTTTCTTCATCAATCTTTCATACACTGTTGTACTACTGATAGCCATTTAAATTATTTATAATAGCTTTATATGTTAAAACTGCTTCACAGGATGGGAACAGAATGTCAGTCTTGTGGGGATATCAGTACTCCTGGCATTCTGTCACAAAAAATGAGGCTGAAAGGTAAAGTGATTGCTTCTTGGTGGTCTTTAATGAAAGCCATTGTGTGAAGTTAGGAAGTCAAAATGTTCCTCACTCTTCTGAGTATCTGTCTGGTTAGCAGCCTTTTCAGGGAGGTTGAAAATTTTCTATGGAATTACTTTCCATAGAAAGGAATTTGTATTTATATATATTTATGAATTTTTACACACTTGTAGATGTATAGGTTGTTTCTTAAGGGCAGAAATTAAATTCTCTAACTTACAGAGGTAAACCACAAGTAACTTTCTGTTTGCCATGTTTAATCCTCTTGGTTTATTTCCTTAATGAGCAGAATAGCAGAGTCTTTTTACTTTCTCTGTTTCATACAAACCAACAAATCCAGATATTCTCAGACTTGGTGTTGTAGGGCAGCAAAACAAGGCAGGTGGTGTCTCAATTCCTCTGTCTTAGATGTGTTCATTGTCTTCATTGAGTTTTCTTTGCCTGAAACACAGCTCTGTGCTGACACACAAGTTCTTCTTGTGTTTGGGGTAGTGTAGTGCAAATAGGTATAGCTGTGTTACCCTTAAAGCGTTCCCAGAATTAGAGGTGTGATGGCATAAAACTTTGGCCTGCAATTGGAATATGACTCTTTGTTTCTAGTCCCTGATAACATCATTGTGTTTTTCTTGCTTCCTTAACATTTCAATATGATGAAATTATTCCTCAAGCAGAAACTTCTAATCTGCTTATCTCTTTTCCTATCTAAAACACTAATCAGTTTTAACATAAGAACTGAACTAGAAATTGCTCAGTTCTTGAATATTGTTATTGTAATACAAAATGAATTGGGCTACAAGCAGCTGGGAAGAGTGCAGCCAGGTTTCTTCAGATATGAGGAAGAAGCTATTTCCAGTTATGAAGGACAGTCTTTCTAATATATCTTTAATTACAAAAAGTGGTAAATAAGTTCAGAATGGTAAATGATAAAAGAACTGTTGATAACATTTTCTTCTCATCTTGTCCTTTCCCTAGGCTATGAACAATGAAAGTGGAAAAATGTCTTTTTCATGTTTGACTTCAAATAGAATTCTTTAAAAAGGTGGAGGGGCTTGACTAAAATGCAGGAGCACTGTTTGAACATCAGTAAGATGCTTCCCTTTACAAGTTGCTGAAACACTTTCAAGTTACCTTCATGCTTAGCCTTTAACTTGAGCGCAGCATTTATTTAACTGTTAGTGCTAATCTGTGAAACCAGTGATCAGAAGGCAATAGGATCAATGTATGAATGTTTCATAGAGACTCTTCAGAAAAGGTGTGTCATGAAAGCTTTTGACCCACCTGGTGTTTTTTAATGATTCACTCACAGAATTTACTGGTCATCAGCTAAATCAGAAAAAGCATCACTCACAAATGTTGCTTTGTAGTGGTAAAAATGATGAACAGACTATTTTCAATATCAAAATAATAATATTTAAAAAGTTGAAAACCATTTTCTAGATTGCTGTACTTGGGCATTTCTTTTGCCTTTTGAAATCTGGCAAGGTGTAATTTGAAGACAGTGGAGTGGAACAGATCATGCTACAGATGAAAGGAATTTAGATGATAATTTTACCTGTGGGAGTGAAGCTATAAAGAATGCAGATCAATTTCTTAGACAGTTTTTTGTGAAATTGAAAATAATAAAAGCTGTGAAGTGCATGTCAGTCATCAGATAGGGCTTTAAATTATATTCTGGGTAAATGTTGTGTGGATTTCTGAAGTCCCAATATGCTGTCTGTAGGTAGTGTGCCATAGGTGAGATAAATTAACATTTTCTCTCTTTCCGCTTTCAACACTTTCCACTTTGCTTGGTGAGGGAAGTGAACTTTAACTTTCTTCTCTATGCCATAGTGCAATAATTTTGTTCAGCTCATTCCTCCCACTCCTTTACTCTTCATCTGTTTGAGAAATTAGACAATGCCATTTCCTTGCATGTTGGTAGCATTATAGAAGAAGATCAGTGCTTTTAATGGGGCTCAATTGTCTGGCAGACTCACATAAGTGAGGCTTCTCTCTAAAATAGATACTTTTTGTAGTAAGTTTATTCTTTGAGTCTGCACAAGAAATTCTGAAGAACATGAGCCTGACAGGTTATGCAAACCAACATAAAAAAGTTAAAATTTAAAATTAAAAAAAAGAGAGGGGAAAGAAACTGGGGGGAAAAGCCTTTCTCAAAAGTTGTTTATAGCGTTTGTCTGTGATACTGAGATGAAAATATTTTTTTCCTCTGCTGTTCCCTAAGCCCTTTTATCCAAAGCAGAATTCACTTTGGATGCTTTCTACAAAAAATAAAAAGCAATAAACGATCACCCTAGAATTCCTCTGCTGGCAATTCTTTGAGCTTTACCTTTCCAAGTCTTTTTCTAGCTGAAATCTTCTGGTCTGGAGGAACCTGAAGCACAGAACTGCGTGTGTGAGTGCTGGGTTGTCAAATACCCATTACTTCAATGAGCAGATTGAGTATGTGGTAGAATTTGAAAATAAACCCACCAAGTTCATTACTTGATGTACCTCATTTTAGCTCTTAAATATTCAGTGAGCACTGTGTATGAGTATGTTGCTAGAAACTGTTAATGTTGATAGTTTCTCAGGGGAATGTGGTTAAATGGTGACTGGTTTTCTGTTGGTTTCTAGTTGCTGTGGATACAGCCCTTAAACACATGGTAGTGTTCATCTAGAAAACTTCCTAGATCTTAACTGTGTTCTTTATTTCTTCCTGTGCATATTGCTGAGAAATTATGATCTTGTCCCAAATGAATTGCTTGGCATCGCGTACATTCACCTTTAAAGGCAGTAGAATAAAATGTGTGATATGTGTATTAATTCCCTAAAAATAGCAGCTTGCCATTTGTTACTGCTTTTAAAACTTGGCTTTCTTAGTTCTTTTCTTTCACATTCTTTTGTCTATCCTATTTTGTAAATAGTTTGTCCTGGTTTTCTTTTTTTCCCATTATCTGATCTTCTGTTCCCCTTCATACCACTGTCACATTTTCATTCCCCACTGTGCCATTTTCTTCCCGCATTTTCGTCACCTCTTTGCCTTCATCTCTCTTGTTTCCCCATACTTTATATTTGCTCCTAAATAAAATGGAGCAAATACTTTGTGGGAATACCCTTCACTTGGGGGGAGGTTCTCTCCCATCATGTCTGACCCCCAGTAATCATTTGCTATTTTATCCTTTTGATAATGTAATATTGATAAAAATTTTGGTTCTCCTCTCCTGATGTTTCTATTTCTAGATCTCTTATTTTTCAGCATTTTTCTAAAGTTTATCTTTCTGTAACCCAAATAAAACCCTAGTGGGAAAAGGGAAGCAACTGTTGCATCTGTGCACCAGTGTGGGTATCAGGGAGTCCACTTGACTTTCACTTCCCATTGAGAATTGTGGAAGGAGGCTGGCAGAGAGCCAAATTGTGAATAGATAGGGAAGATTCTGTGCATAGGTGGTATTGGCTACTTTGATCTCACTACAGACTGTTATGTGGAAGGTAGTGGAAGGTTGCATGAAGGTGGGAAGCACCTTGTGTTGGCACTAAATACAGCTTGTTGTTGCACTCCTCCCTGTGCCCATTCAGGATGGATGCTGTATCAGCCTCAGTCCCTTCATCTTAAAAAATGGGTTTTATTTCTGCAGAGCATTTTTGCTGAGCATGTTAAAGACATCGTATTGCCTTCATCTTGGCTTCTCCTAAGTGTCTTGAATCAGGGAAGAGCTTCACCAGGTTGCTCCAGACTGTAACAAGCCTACAGCCATATATGAAAGTCTTCATTTCACTACCTCTCTTTCTACTCTATTGGCCACTTCAAGTTTATGTTGTCTTTTCCCCTCCTGTCCTTTTGTTCTTCTCTTCCAGCTGCCGTTAATTTTCACTGAGGCCAGACTCTCCTTAGATTCATACCACATGGTATCTCCATATGTATATCTCATCTTCATCATATATGAGATTCTGCTGCTTGCAAAGACCAGACTTCTATAACAAAGGGACTTCCTCTAATTGTTCATTCATTAGATGTCTTTCTCCTGAGACACAGGAGAGATGTTCTGTGGGTAGGCACACTGAGTGTCTTTATTATTATGGGGAGCCTCATATCCTGAGCAATTTGCAAGTTTCATATTTTGTCAGCTAAGGACTGTGAGACTAGATTGGTAATTTGCCTTCTGGTTATATCTAAGCAATAAAGTCCTGACCTTGGAAAAAATAGATCAATGGAGCAAAGATTTTCCTGGCTCAAGAATTCAATTCTTCCTCAGGAATGTTATCTTCATTTGTGATGGTAGAAAAGAAATCCCCCAGTGAATAGACTCCTAGACAGTCCAATTCTGCTTTTTCAAAGTGAAGAACTAGATCCAGGCATATTTTTTAGCTCTCCTACTAGTACTGAGGTGGCACTTCAATGAAGGCTTCTTGAATAACTTCACAAGTTTGAGTACCAACGAGAAGTCCTTCAAACAGGTATTTTGAACCATGAAGACCTTCTGCAACCTTTATACATTGCTAAGTCCACAAAAACCCCTTGCTGTCACAGCCAGGACTTTGGATGGAAGCAGCTTGTCTGTTTTGTTCCATGGATGTATGTATCATTGTCAGAAATGAAACTACCAGACTGCTTTACCTGAATAAATGGGTGAGACTTTCAACCAAGTGTCACACCAAGTCTTTTCTCTAATTAGGTTTCTATTCCAATCAGTCTGTGTTACTAGGGCTTCTTTGGGGTTTTGTGACATAT